TGACCCACACTGTTTGATTGAGGTTTGTTCGGATAAAGTGAGGAGGAAAACAGAACGGCACGTTTCCAGTAAAGCCCTTCCCAGGCTATTGCTAAATTCGCTTTTCACTGGCTGACATCCGCCTCTCCAGACCTCACATCACGCCGGGCGAGAAAGGGGCAAGTCAAAATAATTACATCACTTAATTTCCGCAGTCAGCAGACAGAGAGTGATTGAAGCTGCGGCGTGAAGAGGACAGCAAGCCAACAGCATGATTGCAACATGCAGCAGACAGAATATGTAGAATCAGATTTCCTGTCTGAGACAAAAACAAGTTTTATGCTGTTTTTTCATTGGTCAAAACAAAGTAACGGAAAACTGAATCTGTAGGACCAAACGTTTGCTAAGCTCTCCTATAACCATCTCCTGTACAGCTCAAAGGAAGAGCCTTAAAATAAGAAATCAGGACTGTTATCTCTCACAAACTTAGAACAAAAGGCATCCAAAAATAGAAGTCTCTGAATAGAATCAGAAAAAAGAAGCTTGAGAAGAAGGTTTTATAGCTGGCTGAGATTTGGGCCCCCTGACAGGTGAAGATAAAACGAACCGTAATCTGCTCTGAATACATTTCGAATAATCTCCTTAAAAGGCGGACCAACTTGGTGGATGACGGCCTTGAAACTGCGGCAAACGTTCACGTTTTAATGCACAAGCCGGCTTCTCAAGCAGCACACTTTCTAACTCAGATAGTACCTCGCTGAAATATAAACTAAAAAATATGAATGTGAAAGCACTTCTCCATGTGTCTCCGCATTAAAATGGAGATATCATGTGCATTTCAATAGGATAAGGAATCACAAATAAAAAAAAAGCCAATGCCACCTTTTATTCTTACACTCTGAATCAAGCATTTGAAGCTATGATCTCATGATTTTGTGAGGTACTATAAGGTGGAGGAGATAGCACACAAAGACTAATATTATACGTCATGATATTCTAGATTTAGGTTGATCTGAAGCAGCTTGGCAGCTAGACTTTAAATATAGCCTTTAAAGACTTCAGGTAAAAAAAATAACTTTTGGAGAAAAAAAGCATCCCCCAAACCATTTAGTGTTCAGGTATGCCACATATGACACATGAAAAATCCTTTTGACAGGAGTGGGCTAAGCTTGGACATACAAAGCTAACCATAAGTTTTGTGAGCTGCAGTGACCGACAACAAGTCTTTTGTTTTCTCCCTCTGCAATTTGCATCAGACTTTATTTTAGAAGAGATGTTGAGGCAAAGAAAATAAAGACAACAGTGCCAGAGGCCAAATGTCATAGAAACCTACGTCCATATCAGTAAACATGGTGGAAGGGACTCCAAGTACGTCATTTTGGAGTTCTATGTACCTACTGTCCAAGACTAAAGAACTGCGTTTTCACCATATAGGAAGACAAAAACAATATGGCATCTTTCAGCTCTGCTTCAGCTTCAGATTAAGACAAGCCTGAAGTCCCCAATATGGTAATCTTATTCCTCCAACCACTGATGGATTGTAGGAATAACATGTAGTTGAACCTACCAGGGCTGAAAGAACAAAAACAAAGATTTGTTTCATTCTTTCTACTGTAAAAGAACACAGACTTTGGAGGATGTCATGACTGCAGCATTTAAGAGTTTCAGCCACTAATGAAAGGAAAACAATCTGCCTAGATAGCGAGTTAAAAAACAAGCTATAGGAACTCTAAAGTCATAGCTTCAGGAGTTGAAAGATGCCAAATTGTTTCTGTCTTCCAAGGGGAGAAAACACATTTCTGTAGTCTTGGAGAGTAGGTACACCAGACATACTTGCAGTCCCTTCAACCATGTTTACAAGCATGAAGACCCCAATATGGTAGCCTTGTCCTCCAACCACTGATGGAATAACTCAAACCTTTATGTTACATATAAAAAAAAAAAAATTATAATATGCAGGAAAATGGATGATCTTTGAAAGAACTAAGGTTGACATGAAGATAGTGACAATGCCTCTGCTAATTTGAACTAGCATATTTAGCTGCTTGCCAATAAATACAATCCAATTTGACTTAATTCTGTACCTAAATTTTTTTTCCAACTCTCTTTGGCTTTAATAAAATGTAATGTTTTTTTTTAATCTAAATGCATTTTAAGTGGGATTTTTTTCAATGCAGTCTGAAAATGTGATCAGAATGGAAATACTTTGGTTATCATGAACTGATTTGATTATAGAAGCACTGCTAAAGAAAATTAACAAGCTGATAAAAATGATTTCATGTTGAATAATTCCTAATAAAATTAAGAAAATGATGAACAATGGTGAACCTCATCCTTATAAGAAGGTTCACAGGCTTCTGCAAGACAGACCTCCACACATAATCGTACTACAGTTATTAACATCTACAACAACACACTGGGGGAAGAAAAAAAACACTACATATAACAACAACATTCAGTTTTCTTTTAGGAAAGTATTGAATTTTATTAATTTCTTAAAATAAGGTGTTTCTTCTATTTTGGATGTCTACAGCCAATTATGACACACAGAAAAGGTTTTTCCCTCTGTGCATTTAAGCTTTAGGCCTCACAGGCTTTTCAGTGATTGCTTCAAATTTTGAAGAAGCCATGTTTCCTGAGATTCCTTATCTGATGCAAACATTATCCACTTCTAACAGGTGGCACACCAACTTGTTTATTGCCCTTGGGCTTGAAAGAGTCATAATACACTGATAGCAGGAATAATCTGATTTCACTTTAGGTTCATGTTTGACAAACAATTGCTGAAACCACAAGTGTTTTACACCATGACTTTAAAATGGGTTTCCTTTTCTCCTACACTGTTTACATTCTGATTACTTCTGCACCTTATAAGTGGTAATGTTCATTTAAATTTTGAAAGCTGTATGCATCAAGATTTTGTTTTGTATACACTCTATGTATGCAAAATTACAATAAAGTTTGTGTAAGTCTAACTTGAGCTCTGTCTGATTTTAAATCTGTCTGCAGAACAAGTACTGATGTAAGGCAATGTAGGATATTCATAGGAATCCTGTGTGTCCAAAAGGACTAAAGAAAGAAATGGAACCAAACAGAAAACCCAGTGGCTTTTAAATACAGTTTAGCCAACAGTCTAAGCTGTTTATACTGGTATCTTATAAATCCAATCAGGACTGAATCACAGATGTTTCTAAGCACAGTTTGAGACTTAAGGTAAATTTGGAAACAAAAAGAGAGATTTTTAATTTTGCCATAAACATCTGAACATGTTAGTTAGAACTAAATGTTATGAGCAATCTTTTCTCATGACCTGGGGGATGTAACGACCTCTTTTATATAAAGGTCTGAAAAAATCATACACAAAGTTCAAGTCAAATAAATGTGTCTCTCATATCTAAAAGTTGTCATTAATATGACTAAATAATCTATTTATTTTCAGATCTGAGACACTGAGGCATTTAGTGGTGTTTTTGCTGCAGTTTTTTTCCTTTGGCTGGAAGAAGGTGTGAAAGGTCAAAGCTTCCTGTTTAGTGATCTCTAGTTCAACTATGACTTCACTTTATGGCTAAAATCCATGCTTAGCATCAGACAGTCGGTCAGGTGATGAACTGGTGACAGATTATTCTTATTTATTATGGCCAAAAAAACAAACAAACAATCTTCTATACTATTTAGAGACCAAGAGTTGGATTTCACACTCTTATATTTAAATCATTTTCTTTTTATTTTAACAATAACGCTGCAAATATTGCTATTATTGGCTCTACTGATTCTAAAACCTATTTGTTTTCAAGCAACATCAGATATTTAAGCGTATAGCTACCATACAGTACCTAGTGCTGCACAAGAAATACAAGGTGATTGATTTTTGCATTTAGAAATGTGAAGGAGTGGACTATGCACACACACACATCAAGGAATGAAGGAGCTCTGTCTAAGTACACCATCAAAAACTGTAAACCAGGCCAATCAGAAGGTGCAAACTGCTCATAGGTAAGGGTTGGAGCTGTCCTAATGTCAATGATTATCATCAAACCACAGAGGAAGTAATTTTTAGTGCTGCATCTTTTTCTTTATTTTAATTCCCACAAGCTTTTGTGAATAAAGCTCATTAGTGAGACATCTCTCTGTCACCACCATGGGTTCCTGTGGTTTTATATAAGCAATGAGTCAGGCCTATGATGTGTAAAACTGTGCTGCTGAGCGATGGCTCTCAGCGGGGTGATCAATAGGAGTGACCCTGTCACATTAAAGACTTGTGTTGCTGTCTATTTTACATACAGTGCATAAAAAAACAACCTTTTTTGGTTCGCTTAGCATTATTTCACCTTTGCACAATTTTGTATTTTATCATTATCCATTATGTTCTATGCAAGCAATCCTTCAGCTCCAACTCTATGTAAATAATCTTCAACACAGCTCATCTTTTAAACATATTAACCATTTCACTAAATCAGGAACCTAAAGATTCCCATAATGCCTTAAATATGCACCACAGAGTGAAGTAAATCAGCTTTTAAATCTAGCTGCTCTTCCTCCACATTTTTTTTTTTTTTTTGCAGCTACTCTGCAGGTCAGAGATGAGGAGAAAACACACGCGCAGCGCTGTTTAAAGCGCACCTAGGTGGCGCACTGCGCGCTTTGTTTTTATCGCATCTTTGCGGTTTTGCAAACAGCAAATAAAAGGTGATGAAGGCCCGAGCCTGCTGCAGACATGTTTGCTCACTTCAAGCTGCTTAAATGTGCATTTATCCAATCAGGGGTTATTCTGCACACATTTACTCCTCAGAAGAAAATAAAGAATGTTGCTGCACATTAAAACCTGCTATTGCGTTGCAGGCAGGAGGAAAAACACGTTGCTGTGTTTGGAGCACATAGTCTGACACAAAGCCACGCAGGTGGAGGTCCAACACGTAGAGCTGGTGGAGAAGCAGCACAGCGGTCCTCCTGCTGCTGATGGGAACCAATCACAGCCTGTGGGTCGAAAATTACCAACATAACTGAGATCAGACATGACTTACATCAAGAGTCCCGCTGTGTGATCATCATTTACGCGCAGCGGAATCACAAATCCTCATGCCTGCTGCGGACGCGCGTGGAATGATGATGATCCAGATGTGGAACACCTTTTATAAAAAAAGAAAGATGGGGGCATAGCAGTGGAAGGAGATATAACCCCGGCGAGAGTGGCAGGTGCTCAGCTGTTTCAGCAGCGAATGTCATCAGAAGTGCTTTTGGCTCACTCAGCTGGCGTCACGTCCGAGCGTGTGTCACACCGAGCCGCGGTGCGCGCGTGGCGAGGAGACACCGAGGGGGAGGTGGGCTCTATTGTCTTCGCTGTGGATGACATCATCCCCCACCAATGGTGTAAGCACGAGACAAGCGGAGCAGGGGCGAGCACGCGGCACGTGCGGGCTGGTGGGGGAGGAGGATTCAACGGGCAATATGGGGGGGTAAATATAATAAATAAAAACATCAAAATACAGAATAGAGTGTCCCCTTTCTGGACTTAATATTAAACATAAAAATATCTAATTATGCTTAAATGTTAATTTACAATGTTATTATTGTTAACTAAAAACATAATAGATAAAAAAAAACATTTTGTTAACTGAAATAAAAATAAAATGTAGGTCTTTCAAAAAAAAAATCTAAATCTAATTGAAAGTTTTATAGGAAATTAAAAGTTTTGCTCAGACTGGTAATCTGTGAAATCGGGCATGTCCCCGGTTTCATGATTGTTTTAAGACATCTGACCCACATGCAGGGAACCACTCAGAGAACCAGGGGAAAAGTTAAACAGGTTTATTGGGGGAATTAGTACAGGAGTTGGATCTGGAACTCAGAGAACTGGTGAACCGGAACAGGAAGGTCTGGAGGGGAGATCACAGCAGGAACCATAGGAAAAGTGACTGAAGCTTGAATACTGATGGAGTGGGACTCACGTTTGAGGGGGTTCTTGTTTATCCTTGAATCCAGCCACCGTGGGTTTATCCAGAGAAGAGGGAATGACAAAAAAAAAGTAAGACTCAGAGAAACAAAGACTGAGGTTAGACTCAGCTAATCTCAGCTTGGCTAGAGTACCCAAAACTGGCAAACACTCTGGCGTCGAGGCAGTGACAGCCCACTGCTCAAATACTCCTCCAGTAATGATACAACCAGGTGTGCAGGGAGGCCCAACGAGGACGGGGCACCACCTGGTGGTGGAGGGAGAAAAACATACAAACAACCCACACAAACTGGATTCCTAACACCCAGAGGGCCGGTCCTATTTTCAACAAATCATACTGGCTCCAACATTTACTCTCCAGCCGATGCACCTACCTGTGACAGGAAATAACTCAAGGGGCTCAAGAAGTAATACAATGTTAACTCCTTAAATTATGCATTTAGTATATATAGCCCTTCCTTGTCATGCTCATCCTTGTGATGGTTGGCATATGGTGTCATTTTCTATTTCTTCAAACTGTAAAATCCTATTTCTTCAAACTATAAAATGCAACAAACTAAATTATAATAAAACTAAAATGCTTTCTTTAAACCGACCTACGATGTTCCTCTTATATTTAGCGAATCTATGTTGAATTATATTGCAAAAATATGTTGCATCCATGATGGGGTTTTGCATCTAAAGGCAAAAAATTTCCCTTCTTAGGTCCGTTGTTGCCAGATTTCCCAATCTGAGAGTTTAGGAATGGCGGCCTATGGGTAAAACATGTTTTTCTTTAACTTTATGGCCTAAGAGATCAATAGACTTTGGTTCAAATTGGGCGAGATTTCATATATCCAGGCGGTTTATAAAAAATTTTTGGGATGGAAAACTGAGTCGGCAACCCTGCTGATGTGGTGAGTGGGAACATTATGCAGCAGCGTGTAGGGAAGGGTTGGGGCAGGGGGCGTTATAGATGGGCCGGTGTAAATGGAAAAATGCCAGGGCCGAAAATTGTTCTCAGTCCGAGCCTGGGTGCAGGTACAGACGGTCAGGCCATTTATGTTGCAGCAGCTAATTGAGGTTTTATTTCAATTATTTCTTTTTTTAAATTACTTGTTCTAATCTCCAGTATGTAAATCGTAAACTGAAACAATGCTTAAAAAAATACAAAATGAACTAAAGTAGCTAACAAATACTTAAAATAAAACTGAAAATCAGAAGTGAAAACTATATAAAAATAAAAATCAATGAAAATGTCAAAATTAGTTAAACCTTTTTCACCCTTCACCCTCTTACTCTCTGTGTTGTTTTGGTTTTGTTTTAACAGTAACAACTTGCAAAAGTACTATAACCACAGAAAGAATGATAAACTTAAACAAAGACAAACTAGATCATATTTGTGATGTGAAAGAAGCGGAAATTGATGCATCTGTTTTTAAATACATTTGTTATGAATAAACATCTGTAGACATAATTTGGTCTTCATAAAATGGATGAAACTTAGGTTAGATACATCCATCTCTAAGCATCGTTTTAAAGTCCTGGAACTGATTTTAACCTGGCTTTGGGTATTGGTTTCAGATGGGCCTTTCTAGCACATCCTTAAGAATTTGTTCAAACCAAAAAACATCAGAATGTTACAAAAGCAAAAAAAACAAACAAACAAAAAAAAAAAAAACAACAAAAGAAACACAAGTAATATAAGTTGCAAGTACAGCTTTTTTTAAGATCAGCAGTGAACCTTTATGTCATTCTTTACTTTTATTTTTTACTGCCTTTACTGTCAAAGATAGATTCAAAGATGATGCTAATAAGAATAATGCGGTATTTAGCTTTAATTACATGCATGAATATTTTCTGTGTTGTCTTAGATCAGGGGTCTTCAACGTTTTCCAGGCCAAGGACCCCCAAACTGATGGCGAGATGGAGCGGGGACCCCCTAATTATTTATATTGTATGAAATTGTGTTATATCAAACTGGTCCTATAGCCACTCTATTAAAAATATTATTATTCTAACGAAAGTAATTTCGCCCTGGGATTATTAAGGTATTTCTTATTCTGATTCCTGGTTGATGGAACAGGTGTTGTGAATGAAACGGTGCTCAGCTTGAAAGAGCTCCTGTGTGTCGCTGAATGTGTGCATTGATGACTGAAAGACATCTTCTGCCTCCATTTATCTGCTTACTACAGTGTGTTGAATTCATGTTAATGTGTATTTAAAGACATTTCAATTAGTAGAAAATAGCAGGAGGAATATAAAAAAAAAGCCTAATAAATCAAAACTTTCGCGACCCCCATGCAGTACCTCCAAGGACCCCCTAGGGGTCACGGACCCCCTGTTGAAGACCTCTGTCTTAGATCATTTAAAGTATTATTTTATTATTATTATTATTTTTTTTTTATTCCCTGAGGTTATATTGGATATATTGTAAATAACTTTAGCTGGAGACCTTATAGTTTCTGTTTATTTAGTTTTAGCTGTCTGTTCTTTATTCTTGCTTTCTAAATAGCTGCTTTCTTCTTAGTTGACTAAACCACAGAGCAGCTGGTTTATTGATTGATTGACTTTATTGATCTAACAGTGGAGAAATTCACTTGTCACATTGCCACGTGACATATTTCCCTCTTAAGAAGTGTCAGGTGCATCATAAATCCAATATAACGTAATCTTTATGATCAATTTAGATAATTTTTTGATATTATAAATCCTTTTTTCTCATTCAATTATTTCAATAAAAAATAACAGTTCATTCTTTTCTCTATGGACTCTTTTGAGGCTGTATTATCTTTAGTAGCAGAGCGCCCTATTTCTCTGCTCTAAAGAAAAGGAGATGATTGGCAGGGATGTCACATTGACCAGAAAGTCATTTTCTCATTGTGTAAAATCTCAAAGAAGTAGAGAGCCATGAGTTGCAGGCTAATTTCAGCTCTTAAAGCTGCTTTAGATGGCATGGCTGCAGAGAAAAGGGGTGAACTGTGTCTGTGATGGAAGGTCATGTTTTATCTATCCCCTGCACTGGAATGATCCCTTTGTTTTTTTCACCCTTTTTCGATTTGATATTGTTTTATGTATCTTAGCTTAATTTTACTAATGTAAAGCTCAGTGAAACTGAGGTCTGTTGTTGCTGCAGGATATAATTATCTTTAAAGCCTCAGAGAAGATCCACAGCTTTAGCTGCAATTTGTATTAGCTTCTCTTCTATATCTCCTGAAACACATGTTGCAGTTTCCCAAAGAGAAATTATGACTTAATGATAAATCCCCTGCCAACACTGAAATCACTTTATCTCAGCAGTGCCAGTCACAGCTGTTATTTTAATGGATAAAGTATTTTATATTTTCAAATTAACACCCTGAGCCTAACAGTAGTTAACATCCCATTTGTTAGGGGTCTTGGCATATGTTGCTTCTGAAAAAATTATGTGTGAATCTGGTATGTGAAGGGATTATCACATTCTGATAATATATGAGAGTATGATAAGTTAAGTATACACTGTAAAAAAAGTCAGTAAATTTACGGTAAAAAAAGGTAAAAAACCAACAGTTTTTGACCGTCGTATCCAAAAACATTGCATTACCGTAGAAATTACATGGAACTACCGTAAGTCGAAACTGCAAAGAAAGTCAGTAAATTTACGGTAAGAAATGGTAAAAGACCAACAGTTTTTGACCGTCGTATCCAAAAACATTGCATTACCGTAGAAATTACATGGAACTACCGTAAGTCGAAACTGCAAAGAAAGTCAGTAAATTTACGGTAAGAAATGGTAAAAGACCAACAGTTTTTGACCGTCGTATCCA